AAGTTTTCGCGTTAAAAGGTCAAACAGAAAGCTCTTTTAGAGTTAACCTCACATACTTGTTCTACTACATAAAATATTCCTTACTTTGTTAATTTCAGAGAATCTCGGCGCAGATTGATCAGGGCATTCAGCGTCCTTACAGGATCATTAACTGGCTGGCTTGAGTACGGGAACTGAAATAACCCTAAGCACCATGCAATCCAAGAGACAGTAAAAAAAGGAGCAATTCGATGTGAATCAGACCTGCACCGGTTTGTTGCCAAGAACATCCAAGTCAGTGTTTTCTCCGAACAAAAACGCTTCCGGCTTTGCCAAATCATATCGTTCGCCTCCCAACAAAAAATATGACCCAAAAAATGCGCCTGCAATGCATTTGCACCATTTGAACTAAAACACTCCCGTACAGACCCATCAACCTCGTCCTAAGACGCGCCAAACTGACTACATGCAATTGCACCCTACACACACACACACACACACACACACTGGCAGGCCTCGTTCCAAATACCCTGCCAGGCGCCGAGTCAATGCAGTACCTGGAACTAAACGGCCATCTGGGACACCACAAATCTACGTGCGCATACTTGCAAGCAGCAAGAGCTGAACCACTACCATCACAGTAAGAACTGCAAATGTGTGCGGGTACTCGCGGAGCTTCTCAAAGTTCCCGTTACATTTGAATTTTAGTTTTCTTCTCTGGCGACTTCTGTTACTCGCCCAAATGACCACCCGAGGCCGCACTTTTGCAAGCTGTCCCAGTAAATTCAGACATGAGCGAGACTACTTAACAAATATCATGATGGGATGGGTGCTGCAAGCCGACCGGAAGCTTCTGCGGTGCAGGCCGAATGGAGGTGCTGCAGTGAAAAATCAGATGCTCTACCTGGATGGCTGGAGAATCGATGCATCTCGCACTTCTCGTCCTCATCATCCACAGCACTGGGCACATTTGCCGCGTTACTTCGTCCTAGAGACGCGATCTGACCCATAAGGCAGCACAGCCTCCCAACAACATCAACTGCAATCCAGACATCTCATCCGAAAACGAGCAATCGATTATAGCGAGCGACGAGGAAGC